CTGGACAACTTGGCAAGACCTTATCTCTACCATAATCAAATAGCTGGGCTTGGAAGCACTTGCCAGTAGTTCCAGCTACTTGGAAGTCGAGGAAAAAGGATTGCATGAGCCCTGCAGGTCGACACTGGGGTGGCAAAGAGCATGCCACTGCACTCCAGCCTGGGGGACAGAGCGAGACTACAATTTAAAAATAAAGAAGCCAGGCTCTGTGGCTCAGCCTGTAATCCCATGCTTTGGGAGGCTGAGGTGAGTGGATTGCTTGAGCCCGCAGGTTCGAGACCCGCCTGGGCAACTTGGCGAGACCTCATCTCTACAATAAATCAAAAAAATAGCCAGGTGTGGTAGCACACACCTGTAGTTCAAGCTACTTGGAAGGCTGAGGTGGAAGGGTCGCCGGAGCCCAGCAGTTGGAGGCCACAATCTGGGCGACAGAGATTCCAACTCAAAAAAAAAAAAAAAAGACAACCACAGAAACCTGGTTTACCAGGATGAGGACAATGTCAACACACAATTTCTATTCCATACTAAGGATTTCAAATCCATTCTTTGTAGAAAAATCACAATTGAGTAGAAATGTAAAAATTATTAGAAATATTGTATCAGCACATTGCAACATTACATCATGATCAATCTCCCTGTATATCAGGAAAAAAATAGGAGATTCAACATTTGGGAATTCATGAATACAATTAGTCACATTAACAGAATCAATGAGAAAGTCATATGATCATGTTAACAGATTAAAATGATATTGCGACACACAAAGTAATCATATATGCAAAAATCAAATGATAGGATGTAGTGTAAAATATTTCTGAAACACATGAATATTAGTAGAAATGAAAAGTAATACAAATACATTTTTGGAAGAAATTTTAAATGGTATCACTAAGTTGATGATCCTCTAATCAGTTTATCAATTGAGCTTGATAATGACATAGACACCAGCTGTTTTTGTTCTGGAGAAAAAGTTTTTTGCACAAAGGAATATTTAAATTGGAAATCCATAAAAATCTGAAAAAAAAATAGGATGATACTGTACATAATAAGGACTGAAGCTCACACATGTGCAGACATTGTCTTCCAGTGTGTTTGTTTCTTGCAGTTCCTCCTTCTCACCCATGTCAGGGAGAGATGACACTGCCCTTCTGAGTGTTCAGAGACTTCTGGGTCAGTGTCTATGCATGGTAAGCCCTTAATTACAAATGACTTCTGATAAAAGAGTAACAAATATTATATGAAATGGAAGACCCATAACATATTGTCAGTGATGGATAATGTTCTAAAAACTACACGATTCTTCCATTAGTCACTTAAGAAGCATAAAATTCTGTTATATTTAAATGGGTGGAACTATGCTTTTATTCTATATAATTGTTTTAAAATTCGATGTTGCCATCGACATGGTGTCTGTAACTCATTTGATTCTTCTCCATTATGTCCCTTACTCTTTCACTTCTATTATATCTTCACACAGAAGTACGACTTTTTGTTCTTAAAATATGCTTCTTAGAAGCTGCTATTGGCAATCAAATCTTTCAGGTATTTTATCTGGAAAATATTTCTCTTTTTTCTATTCTTTAAATATATACAATTCTACCTTTAATACTTTATATCAGCATTGTTAATACTAGTTACTCTGTTTTCAAGAAAATACAAGTTTTGAAAATACCCTTAGTGTTTTTCGTGGTTTTATTTTGTAATTTTAACTTATATTCATTTATATAATTCTATTTATAATTTACAGACATACACAAGTTTTGAGTGTCATCTCTCTGCCACTCAGGCTGGAGTTCAGTGGCATGATCATGACTCAACTTATGGGTTCAGGCAATTCTTCCCCTAAGTCTCCTGAGTACCTGGGGACAACATGCGCCACCACACTCAACAGGTTTTCTTTGTTATTTTTGTAGATTGAGTTGCCCAGGCTGTTCTCAAACCCCTGGGCTCAAGACATCCTTCCACTTCAGTCACCCAAAGTACTGGGAATACAGTCCTGAGCCACCATGCCTCTCCCCTCACTGCTTTTAGGTGTTTTCCTCCTTTGTGGTATTATGCAGTTTGACTAATATTGCTTTTAATACTGTTTTATTTTTCTACTTTTGACACACTTTAATTCTAAATTTAGGAATTTATGTCTGGTTTCTAATTATTTTACAAACTTATAAATCATCAACTCTTTGGATATGACCTTTTATTTTTTTCACGTATTTTACTCAAACCACTACATAAATGTTTCAGGTTTCATATTTACGTTCAAGTCACCATTTATGTAGAACAGTAATCATGTTTTTGTCACTTGGACTTTGACACTTTGAGTAAATAAATTGTGCTCAATATTTCCACTCAGTATTTGTTATCAGTCCAATCTAATTTCATATTGTCTCAGCCTATAAATCCCAGCACTGTGGGAGTCCAAGGTAAGTGGATTTCGAGACCCTCCAGGGCAACTTGGCAAGACTGCATCTCTACAATAAAAACTAACCAGGCATGGTAAAGCTCATCTGTAGTTCTAGCTACTTGGAAGGCTGAGGCAGGATCACTGGAGCCCGGCAGGTCGAGGCTGTGGTGGCTGGGAGCGTTCAACCACACTCCAGTCTGGGTAACATAGTGTGACTCCAACTACCCCAAGATAAAAGAAATATACTTTACCAATATGTCATGAGCACATAAGACAGAAGTATATTCTTGTCTATTTTGACATATACTACCATAAAACATATACAAATCTATCATAAAAAGGCCAACAGAATTTATACACTTACGGGGTATACATGGCACCATCAGCAGTTGGGAAATGTGTAGATAAAATAATTTTGTGACCACATCTTGCTGCCAGGAGATTAATGTAAGGGTTGTGAGATTGTTTCACACACCATGTCATAATGTTTCCATATGAGCACTTGGTCTCTCCAGAATGAATCAAGGAAATTACAAAGAATAGTTGTATTTATGGCAAAACAGTGGAAAGGGAAGGGTATCAAGATATAAATGTGGAAGATATTCCAGAGCCCAGAGCCTACACTCCAGGAGTTAGAAGCAGATGACTTGAGGGGAAAAGTACTTCCAACCCGGTGCCAGATGACTGGAAAGGAAACAGAGGAGACTGGGAATGGTGGCTCATGTCTATAATTCCAGAACTTTGGGAAGCAAAGTAGAATAGACTTCCTTAGTCTAGGACTTCCAGGCCAGCCTGTGCAACTTGGTGAGACCTTGTCTTAACAATGAATCCAATAATTTGCTGGGAATTATGGCAAACATTTGTGCCACCAGCTATTCAGGAAGTTAAAGGAGAAAGATGGCCTAATATCAACAGGTGGAGATTGCAATGACCATGAATTTTCCAATGTATTCCAGTCTGGGCATCAGAGTGGAATATCCAACCTAATATATAAGTCTTTACAATAGTCAGGATTCAGAAAGTTAGGTCTTATAAATATACTCCTGCATAATCTTTATTACAATAATCAAATGACCCATAATTTAAAGCAAGAAAGAAAATATAACCTATAAAAAAGGATCACTAGAAACATCCTTCCATGAGTCACTGAATAGTTTATGGTCATCATTTACCTACAATCTTGAGTAAGATAGAATAGATTAACAATTATGGTAACATAGCAATTTATTGTGTGGACAACAAATGTTAATACTTTATAAGCAATACTGTTCATTAAAACAAATGAATTTACATAGCCTAAATAAACCTTCAAATTTCACTGTATGCTCGCTAGCAAAAAACAGATGAGAAACTTTCAAGCATTTCTGTTCTTCTGATAGTAGGATATATTTGTGAACCGCTTTCTTCAGTTTTCAAAATGGATTCTGGGTATTTACAAAACATAAACTTACAACATATACATTTTAAAAAAGTAATTATCTTTACTTTGATGTCTATGAAATTATTTATTTATATTATTCAAATTATGTTTATGGCTTGAAAATATTGCTATCATGAAGATGCATCAAGATATTAACGTTCTTTCCTCATTTTCTCGTTAACATGTAAGTAGTAAGACAAATGATTTCTAAAATCTCAATCATTCTTTGTCATATATTTCCATGGAAAAATGTCATCCTGAACACTCACCGCATGCTGAACTTACAATATTGCTCAATGTGAGTCACAAAAACCCCTTCACTTTGATCTTTCAAAGATTACATATCAGTGTTCCTTATCCTCTGTGAAAAACACAAGAGGACTGCTGGTGACCTACTATACGAGGACATTTCATAGCTCTAATGTACCAACAACTGACCCCAGGCTTTTACATAAACATTATGAACGAAGGCATAACATCATGTGAGTTGAATTACATCAATATTGTTTCCTGTTCAAATTATCCTCAAATTCTGTCAATGTACAACCAAAGGTATACATGGAATATACTTAAGCTTTTCTAAAAACAAAAACAAAATAAATCTTCTAATGCCATTCAATATCTGATATTTATTTCATCTTGACTTTTCAGTAAATAAGTTTCCATAAAAATTGCATTTGTAAAGTTTTCTATCTGAATACCCTAGTGTTTCCAATGGCATATATTTTGAAGGCCAGTCCACATTCTTTAAATTAGTAGATTCTCTACAATGCAGTTTAATGTCAAATAAAGTTTTTGCTGGTTAATATCTTTAGACATTTTTTACATGTGCACATTCAAAGGATTTGTGGTTTGAGTAAAGATAATGGTACTCTTTACATCTGTAAATTTCTAGCCATGCCTCTATGGTTTATAACTTGATATATAATTTTTCAGCCATTACATATACTGAAAATTTAGAGTATAAATTCTCTGAAGTTGAGAAAATGTAGAATAACAGTGAAAAGGTTTACTCCATTCGGCTCATCTATAGGGAATCCCAAAATATAGATACTCATATGTCAACCAAGTATTGAATGACAGCTAAAGGCTTTATCACATTCTCTCATTTATATTGTTTCTCCTCCATATGGGTTTTTACATGTGCAGCAAATCATACGTGAGAGCAACAGGCTTTACCAAATTTTTCGTATTTGTAGCATTTCTCTCCAGTATGAATAATCTTGTGTCCAGTAAATCTATTGTGAGAGTCAAAGGCTTTGCCACATTCTTCACATTTGTAGAGTTTCTCTCCAGTATGGCTCCTCACATGTATAGCAAATCATTTAAGAGCAAAAGGCTTTGCCACATTTGTCACACTTGTAGGGTTTCTCTCCAGTATGGATGGTCTTATGTCCAGCAAATGCTTTATAAGTATGAAAAGCTTAGCCACACTTTCCACAGTTATAGGGTTTCTTAATAGTATGGATCTTAACTTATTGAGAAAGTAGTGAAAGAGAGTGAATGACTTTTCCACATGTTGCACATTTGTAGGATTTCTCTACAGTATTGATGGTCATATATCAAGCAAATCTATTGTGAGAGCAAAAGGCTTTGCCACATTCTTCACACTTGTAGGGTTTCTCCCCAGTACGGATGGTCTTATGTCCAGCAAATCCTTTATGAGAGCAAAAGACTTTGCCACACTCTTCACATTTGTAAGGTTTCTCCCCAGTATGGATGATCTTATGTTCAGTAAATACTTTATGGGAGCAAAAGGCTTAGCCACATTCTTCACATTTGTAGAGTTTCTATCCAGTATGGATCCTCGTATGTGTAACAAATCTTTTATGAGAGCAAAAGCCTTTGCCACATTCATCACATTTGTAGGGTTTCTCTTTAGTATGGATGGTCTTATGTCCAGCAAATCCTTCATGAGTGCAAAAAGCTTTGCCACACTTTTCACATTTGTAGTTTCTCAACAGTATGGATCTTGACATGTTGAGTAAGTAATGAATGACAGTGAAAGGCTTTGCCACATATTTCACATTTGTAGGGTTTCTCTCCAGTATGGATACGCTGGTGTACAGTAAGTGTCGAGTTCTGAGTAAAGCCTTTGCCACATTCCTCACATTTGTAGGGTTTCTTTCCAGTATGAATCATAGTATGTCGAGCAAGGTTTGAATGATTGTGAAAGGCTTTGCCACATTCTTCACATTTGTAGGGTTTTTCTCCAGTATGGATGGTCATGTGTCCAACAAATCCATAATGAGACCTAAAGGCTTTACCACATTCTTCACATTTGTAGGGTTTCTCTCTGGTATGGATACGCTGATGTACAATAAGTGTCGAGTACTGAGTAAAGCCTTTGCCACATTCTTCACATTTGTAGGGCTTCTTTCCAGTATGAATCATAGTATGTCGAGCAAGGTTTGAACGATTGTGAAAGGCTTTGCCACATTCTTCACATTTGTACGGTTTTTCTCCAGTATGGATGGTCATGTGTCCAACAAATCCATAATGAGACCGAAAGGTTTTACCACATTCTTCACATTTGTAACATTTCTCTCCAGTATGGGTACTCTGATGTACAATAAGCTTTGAGTTCCGATAAAAGCCTTTGCCACATTCTGCACATTTATAGGGTTTCTCTCCAGTATGAACACTCTGATGTTGAATAAGACTTGAGTGCCAACCGAAGGCTTTGCCACATTCTTCACATTTGTAGGGTTTCTCTCCAGTATGGATACGCTGATGTACAACAAGCTTTGAGTAGTGAGTAAAGCCTTTGCCACATTCTGCACATTTATAGGGTTTCTCTCCAGTATGAACACTCTGATGTTGAATAAGACCTGAGTGCCAACGAAAGGCTTTGCCACATTCTTCACATTTGTAGGGTTTCTTTCCAGTATGAATCATAGTATGTCGAGCAAGGTTTGAACGATTGTGGAAGGCTTTGCCACATTCTTCACATTTGTAGGGTTTTTCTCCAGTATGGGTGGTCATGTGTCCAACAAATCCATAATGAGACCGAAAGGTTTTACCACATTCTACACATTTGTAACATTTCTCTCCAGTATGGGTACTCTGATGTACAATAAGCTTTGAGTTCCGATAAAAGCCTTTGCCACATTCTGCACATTTATAGGGTTTCTCTCCAGTATGAACACTCTGATGTTGAATAAGACTTGAGTGCCAACCAAAGGCTTTGCCACATTCTTCACATTTGTAGGGTTTCTCTCCAGTATGGATACGCTGATGTACAACAAGCTTTGAGTAGTGAGTAAAGCCTTTGCCACATTCTGCACATTTATAGGGTTTCTCTCCAGTATGAACACTCTGATGTTGAATAAGAACTGAGTGCCAACGAAAGGCTTTGCCACATTCCTCACATTTGTAGGGTTTCTCTCCAGTATGGATACGCTGATGTGCAATAAGCTTTGAGTACTGAATAAAACCTTTGCCACATTCTGCACATTTGTAGGATTTCTCTCCAGTGTGGATGGTCTTATGTCCAGCAAACCCTCCTTGAGAGCGAAAGGCTTTGCCACATTCTTTACATTTGTAGGGTTTCTCTCCAGTATGGATCACCATATGTTGAGTAAGGTGTGAATGAGAGCAAAAGGCTTTCCCACATTCTGCACATTTGTAGGGTTTCTCTCCAGTATGGATCATCATATGTCGAACAAGGTCTGAACGACTGTGAAAGGTTTTGCTGCATTCTTCACATTTGTAGGGTTTCTTTCCAGTATGGATTACAGTATGTTGATCAAGGTCTGAATGAGTATGAAAGGCTTTGCCACATTCTTCACATTGGAAGCCTCTCTCTCCAATGTGGATTCTTTCACATCTATTTAGATAAGGTGATTTTCTAAATGTTTTCCCACATGTAGTGTGTACATTTCCTCCACTATTTTTTTGATGTTGACTACACTTTGAGGACTGGTTAAACATTTTGCCATATTCATGTTTGAAAGTCATTTTAGAAATATGGATACTCTGGTGGATAAATTTGGAGTGTTGATGAAAGACTTTCCCACTTTTATTATATTTGTAATGGTTATTTGCTATTGAGCATGCTATCTGCCCTTCACCCTTATGCACACTATCCCAAGATCTTTTTAAGCATAGGATTTTAAGGCCAAATTTTCCATATTTTCCCATCGGGTTCTTTGTAGGTGAGTCTTCTATGCTCTTCTCTGGTAAAAGGCCCTCAGTGTAATGAGAAGTCACAACTGAAAATTATGAAAATAAAAATTTATTCCATATACTAGACTCAGGTGAATATCCTTTAAAAGTGAAACATAGCTGGGCTCGGTGGCTCAGCCTGTAATCCCATGCCTTTGGGAGGCTGAGGTGAGTGGATTGCCTGA